CTGTGATAAATCACACAAGGACTGGTGGGAATGCCAGGAAAGCATATGCTCTGTACACCTGCTGGGAACAGATCTCTGCACTGGATTCCATAGCTCAGAGCTCGAGGGTGGCAGCCATGGTTCATAGCTCGTTGTGGGGAGTGAAGAGGAAGACGTGGAAACCCAACGTGCTCTTTAAGTGATGCAGGAGTGAATGAATCTCCCATTTAGGGAAGCTGTGTTGGTACCAGAAAACACTACTGCCCATAAGATACTCTAATATCCCATGGATGTGTGAAGGAAGTCCTCAACTGACATCTCCTTCCACAGTAAGACAGAAATGGTGCTGATCCAAGACAGACTACTGAGGATCAAACCTCGCTCCTGGGGTTCTTTATAAACAAGCACCAAAACAAAACTAGGGAGGGGAGAGCTCTGTGGCTAGGCAGAGATCTAAGCAACTGCGTAAGGCAGCATCTGAAAGCTCATTTCTGCTCTGCCCTAGAGGAACATGCTGCAGAGTGGAGCGCTTGGCCTCTCTGACACATCAGAAGAGCCTTTTCTGCAGCACTGCTGCCTTTGGATAAGATGGAGACAAGCTAACACAGTCCTGCCTACCTGACATAGCCCCTCCTACTGCTCTTGACTGTTTTACTGCCTTAGTTTTACTCTTGTTCCACCCTTTGTGTCCTGAGCCACTGCTGGACCGTGATTCTCCTCTCCAGAGGTGACTGGAAGTCACCATTTCATCTGACACAAAGCAGCTGCCCTGAACTTGCACCAAAGTCTCTGGGACGAAGTCAGCTGTGTGCTCAAGTCCTTTAAATTTAACTACATCTTCAGTGCCCACATCAAAGATCACAGGGCAAATAGTAACAAAAACCAGAGGCGAAAGAAGGCTTCTTCACAAAGCTGTATCAGGAACTACATGGTCTGGAACAACTGCACTGGAAAACCAACACAATGGAGCCAGATCAACCAGGACCCTGGTCTTACAGAACATAAAAAAAGTCTGCTCTAGGTCTCCCCAGGCCCATTCTCCCCTTCTTTACGGGAACAAGGGCAGTGGTTGGGATTTATGGATGTGCTACCTGTGCCTCTGTCCCTGCCTGCAGTTGCACATCCCCTCAGACAGGAGCGTTCTGGTTCCCATAAAACACCCGTCAGGAAGTTATGCTGAACTATCTCAGCCTGTCTCATGTCATCCTTTTACACCACCTACTACTCCTTGGTGACAGAAGGGATCCCGTAGGCTTACCTAAATTCCACCGGGGGTGGAGGCAGGCTGTCATCTGGGAATGAAGGAGGTGGTGGCACAATAGAGTCAGTCTGCGGCGGTGGCGGGTAGCAGTTCACATCCATGCTTTCGTTTGAACCAATGCTGCCGTTCTGATACACCATGTTAGAGGGGTACCTGGGTGGAAGCAGGACAAGCAAATGTGTTGGAAGAGTTCAAGACAATGGCGAAAGCTCATTTTCCCCCTCACTCACAGGACGTTTGCCTCCTGGAAGGGTTACAACAAAAAACCATGCGGCAGTTCAGCTGCCAAACAGCAGTGATATTAACCACATGGACAGATCAACCTTTGAGATGTAGAAATGAGTTTTTCCAGCAGGAACAGCTTTTCCCACCACAGTGGGACCTGCCTTTAGGTGGGACCTTAATAACCACCACAACAGGACACACAAAACAAAACCTTAAAGAAACATCAGGGGAAAAAAAACTCTATTTCTCAAAGTATCCTACATGATAACCCATGCAGAGCTGTATTGGTTTGCTCTGCATAATTCTTTGGCTAGAATTTACCCAGATGCTCTCACGTTTGTTTATTGCTACCACACACCACAAGAGCATGAGGATATAGTTCAGTGAGCAAGAAAACACTGAAATAAAACCCATTTCTGTTAATCTTCTTAACAACCTGGACTTGAAGGACTCCCAGTGGCACTGGGCATCCTCAGTGGCAAAAAGAGACACTCAAAGATGCCACACGAACAAGCTGGAGAATAAAGAAACAGCAATGCCATTAAAAGCAAGTATCCAAAGCTCTTCCTTCAGTACTATTTCAGACGACTCTCCTGCTCAACTTTCTATAAGCTCATTTCACTGTGGGGTGATGAAACCACTTGGGGGTTCTGGACCTCAAGTGAATTCAAAAGCACGAACACACTTCCACGCGAAATGACGAGCAAGAAAATGGTGCTGTTGTGCTGCTCGGTTCCTCTGCTAGAAACCAAACCTGTTCTCCTATTAAACTAAAAGCAAGTTTTATTTTTAGCTGGAAGAGTGTGATTTAAAGAGAGATTTTTTCTTCTATGAAAGGAAGCTGCAAGGAGCGAGCAAGTGAGCAGTGCATTGTGGGGAATTCGGTCTGCTTCCAGCCTTGCTGGTGTCAAAAGTTAAATGAATTCCCAAGCCAGAAGTGCTAAAGAGAGATCTGGAGCTTGAAATACTTGGATGGGGACAGCCCCCGCTTCAAGTTGAGGGTGTGAAGAGCCATTTGGCAAATGTAACAAAGCAATCACACAATAGCACCATGATGCCACCCTGCTCCCCAGCGTAAGGCCCAGGGCATGGTGATGGGGTAGGGAGCCAAAGCTCTCAACACTTCTGTGCCCACAAGACAGGCAGCCGAGAGCAGACTTGCTACCAAAGCTGTTCCTGCCACCTTGCTCAAACCCTGCAGCTCCCTGATTTATTTAGCAAATCTTAAAATTAGCAGACACATTTACTTTGGAGAATCTGATTAGTGGCAGTATCGATCCGCACCGTGCAGCGGATCTGGAGGAGCTGCAGAGCCGGGTGAACTGCATCACAATCAACCTCAGCAGGGAGCTGAACAGAGAGCCCCAGACTTGCTTACCCAGCAGGACCGTGTTTGTCCTTTGACTCAACAAATTCTTGTCCCATTTTCAGCTTCTCCCACTCTTCTTTCCGGGTTTTGATTTTCCGCGGATTCACATTCCCTCGGTTTGGATTCTCCTTTTTCTCTTTCTAAGGGAGGAGGAATCAAACGGAAGCTTAGGAAGGGGGAAAGGATAGGACAAAGCTGTAGCAGTTTCAAGAAGAGAACATGCTCAAAAAGGGATGGGATCTTTAATTTACTTTCCCCATTGCTGCAAGCTCCAAAGATCTCCCACACACAGAGGCTGGAGCATGAAATAAGAGACAGACAACATCAGATTTCCCCAGTGCAGTCTGGCCATGATGCCATCGTTACACCCTGGCACGACCACCTCCAGGGCAGAGGGAAAGCTCAGTTTCCCACAGCAATTCAGTTCTTGGCCTCTGGGTCAAGCCTGCCAAATCTCACCACCACCTTGCTGGTGTTAAGTGCTTTGGGATGCAGTATGGACACTTGCCCACAAAGAAGTGGGCTTCAGCGAGCCTTACTGTGTGTTCTACCATGTCCTAAATCTCTCCTTTGTTATTTCAATAGAAAAATCATCTGTTTTGCTATTTAATACTCCAGTTGCTCAAAAGCTACATAAAGTATGCTCAAACTGAATCTTTCATGGTCTAAGTTTCAGTGCTGGTAAAACATGGGTTCAAATCCCCAGGCAAACCAACCAGGAGCTTCTACCTGGCATGTGCAGCTGACGTGGTTTTGTTAATCCTCCCACTTACCCCCAGTTTAACATCAGGGCCTGGTTTTGTGCTCCTGAAGGGACATTCTCTCCTTTCTTTATTTATTCACAGCAGAATTTACCACGCTACTCAGCACACTACAGTGCTGGGGCAGTGGGATTTGCACAGCTTCACCACTGGACAGACCCCCTCTGCAACATGGGAAGTGCAGAAAAGACTCTGACAACTTTCTCCCCTGCACTATGTCTGAGGACTACACATTAAGCCCTTATAACCATACAAAGACAGAGGCATTTGGAAAAACAGATGAAGGGTATCTGTGTTCTTTAAAGCAAACCAGGTAAACTCTTTAGGAGTCAATCCAGGGAAATTTTTAAGAAACCAAACCTGAATTTTGGATAGCAACTTTGGAGTCCAAGATGTATTAACACTTCCCACCTCCTATTCTTCCCTGACACACCTCTGTTGGCAGAGATCTCCCATTTCCTCACCCGATGTTTCCGCTTCTCTTTCATAATATCCTTTGTGTCCTGAAGCATTTTCTCTTTCCAAAGGTCGAAGAAATAGGAAGGATCAGTGTAGAATTTAAGTGCCTCCTTGCCATCGTCCCTAGAACAAGGAGGGCGAAAAAAAACAACACACACAAACAAGGCCCAAGTCACACATTTGCTTGAAGACCAAATAAAACACAAGGCACAAGCGCAGACGACAGTTTAAAAGGTCAAACACACTGCTCTCACCTCCATCCCCCACCTCAGAATGGCAGCAGACCCACAGCCTCCCTTGTCCTGGCTCTCCCCCTTGCTTTTACCTGCACACCAACTCTCCATTACCCAGCACCTGAAGAGCTCAACTGCTCTGAACAATCACCAAGAGAGCAGCAGGTCTCTCACTTCAACTCCCACTTGTTTGTGTTGTATTTTTGATGTGGAAAAACAAGCAACCAACCGTTCTCCAGCTCAGGAACCCTAAATCAGACCAGCAGCGTCCTTGAAACTCAGGAGTGAGCACACACACACACACACACTCTCCTCCTCCTTTGCAGTGCAGCCGTGTCTGGCAGAAGACAGCTGCCTCCAGCTATCTGTAATTACTTTCTACCTGCTCAAAAGATATTTATGGATGTGGGCTAAACCTCTGTATTCTGACCCCCTTTACTTCTGCCACCTACAAGATGAAATCAGAGGGACACTGCTCAAGAGAACTGGTTACGCCGCCAGTGTAGGTCACATTCGATGTCTCAGACCAGGCACAGAAAGCATCTCCACATCTATAGGAGTCTACTGCACCCACCTGGGTGAGAGCCACTTACAGATGTATGCTCTGCGGTTTGCACTGCAGCTTTCTGGAAAGGAGCCACAGGGCTATGGAGAAGCACAGGAAAAATGCATCATCTGCACAACACCTAGCATGTTTCTGCAGTGCCAGCCAAGCCTTGCCCCAAGGCAGTCACAAATGTGACAGCAGGCAACCAAATCTATCATTTTTGAGCTACGCTCATTTGTAGAGCCCCAAAAGCAAAGTTTCACATAATCCAGAGAATGGGATTTCCTGGTGGATCGCAGTTTAGCAACTCAATTTCCCATTGGAAACGGTTACTTCAGGACAGGACAGGATGGGAAATGGCCGCCTTGACAGACTGGGAGGAAGAGCTCCTTCTCTGCAAGGGAACAAGGAGCTAACAAGGTGTTGCAACCATACCTGTAAGGTGAGAGAATGTTGAGAGGTGGAGGAGTATTGCAGGTCCTATAGGTTTCAAGGACAGGCACGGGGAGAGAATCCCTGTTGAAGAGCTTCTGGTCCTGAGTAGTGGAGCTTTTGAAGGCCTTCCTGGTGTTAATGCCTTGCAGGGAGACTGTAAGAAAGAGGAGAGAGCAAGTGAAGAACAGCTTGACCCAGGCCAGTGATGTTGCAGACCAAGCAGCGAACATCTGATTTCAGCTGGAGTTCTTGGCATGCTTTGCACTCCTTAAGGTCAGGTTCCTTTTCCCACAGATTCCTTGGGAAACCCAGCAAATCTCAGACGATGCCGTGCCAAGATCCGCTGCTTGAGCCGTATCAACACGGCTCTCTTGAGAGCTGCTGATGTGGTTTTGAAGCCCCACAACCAAGACTCAAGCACCACCCTACTATCACATTGCTGAAGAGCAAATCTACACTTGAGCCACAAAGGCTATCCACACCAGCAGCACTGTGGTTGTTCAGGAGGGGAGGGAACAGTCCCTCTTTAGTCCAAGAGAAGACACCAGCACCCATCACAGCATCATGCTCATTTTATGGCCGTGAAGCAACCATGTTGATTCAAGGAGAACCTCTACCACGCTTGGTCTGCAAGGACTGTGCTCCACAACATTACCTTCCTCCTCTTTGGGATCCAGCTGAGTGACTTTGACTTGCAAGCGGTCAACCCTCTCGGCTAGAATGCTCACCCGAGAGGCAAAGGTGTTGGCTTCAGTAAATAACTCTCCAAATATGTCTTCAGCAAATTTACCTGGAATAGCAAAGTGTCCATATTACCCTCAGGAGCCACATCAGTCTCCCAGATTGTTTCCTTGCAGAAAGAATAAACCAACCATGCTTCTGTTCAAGTTCGTCAAGGCTTGAGTTCAACATAGAATCATAGAATGGTTTAGGGTGGAAAGGACCTTCAGATCATCCAGTTCCAACCCCCCTGACACAGGCAGGGACACCACACACTAAACCATGTCACCCAAGGCTCTGTCCAGCCGGGCCTTGAACACTGCCAGGGATGGAGCATTCACAACTTCCTTGGGCAACCCATTCCAGTGCCTCACCACCCTCACAGTAAAGAACTTCTTCTTTATATCTAACCTAAACTTCCCCTGTTTCAGTTTGAACCCATAATTTCCAGGAAGAAAACTTCCTGTTCCACCAAAAGCTGACATTTCCAAGGGATCTTCAAGCAATAAAGAAACAATCAAAGACTTACTTTCAAGTCATTATTAAAGTAATTGAATAAAGAGGGCTGACAACATGGGACTGGTCTGAAGCTGCGTAAGTCTTGGAGGTCCTTTAACATTCTCTGCTCTTCTGTTTATTAGACAAGCAAATGCAGTTAGGTTTGTATTGCTCTGGAGAACCTCAAAGGCTCCCTGTCTCCAGCAGGCCTGCCTCCAGGGTAACTGCCACTATTTACAAGCTCAACTAGAGAGCAGACCCAGCCCTTGAGCCCACAGCCTGAGCTCTAACCACAGCCGAAAGCACTGACCCTTTTGTTCCTTCAGGTGGCAGTGTCTGAAAAATTGATGCATTCACGTTTATTCTACATCAAAACCAAAGCGGAACTTCTCAAAGAGGGATATTCTCTCTGTAACAGCTTGGCTTGCCCAGTGGGCTGCTCTGACAAACATCATCCATTGCTTGGACTGTGAGAGCGCCCAGGGGCTTGGAACAGGAGCTTGCTGAATCACTCAGAAGCATAACAAAAAGATATGCCCTGGCCTTAAGAGTTTCAAATCTATGTGTGCACCAAGAGATGACCACAGGTAGACAGAGATGGGAGAAGTGGAAGAAAACCAAGAGCTTACAGTGAGTAGTGTCTTTGTTCTGCTCTCAGGCATAACCCAAGCCAGGGAGCCCAAACCACGCCGAGGACAAAGCTGATCAGTAGAGACTTGGCACTGACAACAGACATAGGCCCATGGAGTTCCCACTGATGGGAAACATTCCCAGCCACGGCTGGTGAGTACGAGGCTGCTCCCAATAAGCAGTCTGGTTTTGAAGTGCATCATCATATGGTCAACAGTTTGTTCTGGAATCTGTTACTCCTAAAGATCCTCTCCGACATTCAGGAAAGGATAACCAGTTGGAAGCCTGACTTGAACAGCAATTTGGGAAAATCTGGTTGTCTGCAATGAGTCACTTCAGAGAGACAAGAGCCTGTTCCACAAAGCAACGTGAGGACATCCCCCAAAGCCCAGCTGCACAAATACTTTCAGCTCTCTAAAGTGACATATCAGCTACTTGTTCATACTCCCATGCAATTCTCCTTACACTGCCAAGCACGGGGAACCAGCCAGGTTAAAAATCAACCTCCTCCACACCTTTTGGTGGCAACGCCAACTTGAAGTGTTTGTAGAAAGCAAAGGCTGGAAGTTAACTGCACAACACAGCAGGAAGCATTGGACAGTACAGATTCCATGCACACTCCATTAACAAATCCAACCAGCTTTCCCCAAACTCCTACAAAGGAGTTTGTTTCTGGAGACCTAAAGGCCAGGTAGCTCTTGTTATAGCCACTCATGAAGCACTAGCCATGGCCAGCATCAGCACAAGACCAGCTCTCCTGTCTAACCAAAGAGAGCCAGTGTTTAGCTATGGGATAATTTGCTACCTCCCAGCAACAGCACAGAAAAAGAACAGTTGTAATTTGGTTTCTACTTTATTGAGAACTGAAACTCGTTGCTGAATCTCACGGCAACAAGCAGGAAGGGAAAAAAAGAAAGTCTTGGGTTTGCAGTGCCGAGTAGTCGGTTTCAAGCGGGAAATAATATAGAAAGAGCATTGTACAAACTGGTCTTGACCCTGGAGGGAGAAGGGATGGTCTGTAATCCTCTGCCCTGTGTAAGTTCACCCGTACACTATCACCCTGCACCCCAAACATGGACACTTCTGAATGGGGTAAGGCAGAGATTAATTCTTTGGTTTAGTTCCTTTGGCTGTAGAAGTGCAGCTTACAATCAGAATTCCCTCTGTCATGCGCTGGCAGGAAGACAGACGGCATGATTTAATAGGTCTTTCCATCTTTACCTTGTGCATCCTCTAACATCACACCGAAATGCACAGTCGACTTCTACAAAGTGCTACCAGCTGCGATAGTAACGAAGGGTAAACTCACTGGGATATGAAAGTTTGACAAGATTTATGTTTGCATCTTCGTAAAGAGACTGTGCTGCACGAGGCATGGCTGATTATTCACTTGACTGGCCTGTCACAGCCTACTGAACCTGTGCTACGTTCCTGTAATATTCAACGTATAGAGAAGGAGTGGATTTAGGTTTTGAAGTAAGAGAGAGAAAAGGAAGAGAGGGCAGGAGTTTGGTCATTGGGATGCGAGTTTTCTGGAGCAGTTAAGTCTAAATAGTGCTTCATCTACAATACTGCTGAGCTTAGGGAAGCAGCTAAGAGGTGGTGCTCAGTGTTTCCTTCCCACCTTACACGGTGTCAGCAAGAGCCACCCCTCCAGTGCTCTCCTCCAGGCACCTGTGATGGGATCAGCACCACAGACCTCACCTCCTGCATCACCCAGGAAGGCACCTTCCCAATACACCAGGCTGGAATTTGGCTCCCAGAGCTTCACCCACTCTCTGACAAGGCAGAAGCAGAGAAGTTTTGACTGAGTTGCGCAAAGGTGTAAACCTGGAGGATCTTGCCATGGCTCTGTCAGGCTTAACCCACTGCAGGCCTCTGGACTGGGATTAGCTTTCTCTGCAGCTGAGATTTCCACAGCTTTACCACCTTCTTCCTCACCATTTCACATGCATGAGATGGGGTTGACTTGCCCTCCACAACCATCTTGGCTAGAAGACCTAACAATAAGCAACAAGGGCCAGTTGAATGTGAGCAAAGAGACTGGTCTTGCCTGTGCAGTGACATTTCTACAACCCAATGGAATGTGATCCCAATTGGCAGCAAATACAGGCCCAGGGTTCAGTGATAGCCATGGTTTTCACTGCTGGAAAGAGCCTGCACCCACACTTTCCCTGTCACATTCATGCTATGGCGGAAGACAAGGGCCTTGCTTTGCAGAGCAAGCAGAAGCACTTGCAATCACCACAGAGAAGCCAAGCAATACATTCATTTGATTATCAACAGTCTTGCTTCAAGGGCAAAGGTGGCTAATCAGAATCCAGAGCATTCCACAGAGGAAGGAGTCATCCCACAGAGACCACAATTAACTCTTTGGTTCTCCTACTGCATGGAAGCCTCTGTTTTCCCTCTGGCCTTCATAAGGCATTGGTCAGCCCACTGGAGAGCTGAGCTCAGGCTGCCATCTGAGTGAGCAGCCCCAAACCCCCCAAAGGCAACACTTGGCTCAGAGTGGGGACTTCGGGTCTTGCAAGGCAACCACCAGCAGGGGCAAAGAGGCAGCTTCTGCGTGTGCGTTTTCATTCCCTTTCATTAAGAATAAGACTACTGACACAGTGTAGATTCAACACAGTTAAGCTCCATTTAGTAGCGTGTGCAATTACAGGCACATTCTCTGACACAAGATCCTGGCTGCTCGGAGAGCCTCCCATTTTACAAGCCTGAGTTGTGCTCCATCCTTCCATCTGCAGTTTCACTGCAACCTCTCACACACACACACTTCCACACACACCCCCCTCCCCATTTTCTCTTAGCTAGGAAGGCAGTGGGACCAGGGATATGAAATTAGCATCAGATTTCTTTCGGAAAACATTTTAGCATTACCCAGGGAAGGCAGATGGGGGAGAAATAGGAACGCCAGAGTAGAAAGCAAGCTAAATAAAGAGCACGAGCGACTCCTGAGGGCAACGCGCAGGCTCGCCGTGGTACTCACTCAGGCTGCCCAGCTGTCGAATGACATTTGCCAGGGTGATGTTGGTCATGCATTCCAGCTCGCTCCGAACGCTAGGCAACGTCTGACGGCACAGGTGCCTTGGCTCAATGTTCCTCGTTACTAACGGCATGGTGGACCTGCTTCAGGCACTGTTCTGAAAGATGAAAAACAACCCAAAAAAGAAACAGGAAAGGATTACTCAACCACAAATTCCAGGCACACCAGAGCCGTGGTGTTCGGTCTTCCTGCTCTCAAATGGCTTTATTTATAAGCCTTCTTTCCCCCACCCTTATGAAACTGGTGTATCAGAAAGAAAGATCCTGCTGTTCTATGAGTTGCAGTGAGAGCAGAGCTTCAGCAGCTCAGGTAGAGAGGCAGGAATGGAACACTACACATCTTCACCCCCACGCGAGGTGCTGCTGGCACCACCGCAGCCGCTGTTCCCTTCCTCCCCAGCCGCTGAGCCGTCTCCTTCCTCCCGCGCTCAATCACAAGTGTCTTGGGCGAGTCTCACAAGCACAACTCTCTTCAACCTGCAATCAATAGGGTTGCTGAACCCGAGAGGAGAGAGATGGGAGATGTTAGGGGGACAGAACAGCAAATGGTGTCTTCTAGCACAGCAAAGCATGTGTGGTGCCTCCCTCCTGCAGCACTACAGGCAGGGCTCTTCTGAAACAACAGGAAGCGCTTGCAGCTGACCAGGAAACTTTCCTTATCCTGCAGGCTGCACCCCCTCTTCCCTTGGGAAATCCCCCGGGGCTGAGGTTTACACTGGACCATTGTTTTCCTGCTACAGCAGTTGCAGGAGCTCTAATCAGGACGCAGGGCTAAAGGGAGCTCAGAAAGAAGTCAAGATGGAATGTACAAGAGGCACGACAAAGTTCCAGCTCTTTAAAACAAATAGCAAATAAAGCAGAAAGCCCAAGTGTCTGGAAGACAGAAAATGCTTTTATGTGCAGGAACTAACAACAAAAATCTCCTTTACTAACAGGCCGAAACACTGAAGCTTCTTCTGGGATCATGCACCTCCGAAGGAGAGGAGGACACTTGGCTGAGCAGCTCCAACAATGAGCACGATCCACTCCTGAAATCTTGAAGTGAAAGCAAATCCAGCCCAAGCTCTTGATTAATTTAGAAGGGGAAAGAATCCCTTTTCTAGGTCAGCTGAGGAAGAAGAACCCCAGTGAAGCAGGCAGTGCCCATGTGATAGGCATGCTGATCTGCTGGGGCTGGGGGTATAAATAAAGCAGGAAGCGAAGGGCTTGGGGAACACGGCTTCCTGACACCAGCAGCAAAAACCCAAGGACCAGAAAAAATCAGCTGGTTGCTCTTGACTTTGAGCCACCCTTTGATAGGCTCGGTGGCAGCTGGCAGCTTATCTTTGAGGTCCAGGAGTCCTTCCTGGATGCTTTTCTATCAGGGTGTTAAGAGGAAGAAGTGGGCATTATCCCTCCTAATTACCTCACAAGCCAGATTCTGAATTGCTAAATTTGACCCATTAAGGCAGAGGAGTTCAAGAGCCACAGCACTGGGCTAGCTCCCAGACCAGCAGATGCAGGTTGAATGACTCTCTGTGAGGAATTCGGAGGGATTTGGGGTCCCAAACCTATTCACCTGATAAAAACAGGGAGCAAGATCTGCATCTGCATAAACACAAAGCAGAGTGAAGTCCGTGTTGTTCTTCACCATGTCCAAGCACTGCAGCAGCCATCAGTAACTGCTGAGATATTTAAAGCACAGGGTGAAGGGAGGAAGGACTCTGACCTTCGCTTCCAAATACGTGTTTTATCGATTACAGCCTGAGCCCTACAATCTTTTGTCAGCTTTAGTGCTTTAATGCCAGACAAAGTTGCCCAGCTCCCCCCAGACTGCAGTCTGCACCACCAGGCAGCTCTCAACAACAAGGCAGGCATTTGCAGGCTGCCTGCATCCAGCTTCTCCCCCCCTGTGCTTCCACAGGGCTCTGCCAGGGAGCAGCCGCGGTGGGGTGTGCAGAGCAGAGTGGACAGACAGCTCACCCACCAAAGCCTGCCTGGACTCCTTTCAAGGTGCAGGACAGACAGAAGGAAAACAGCACGAGGGGAAAGAAGCTGGGAAGGGAGGCGAGATGTGAACGTGCATGTTGAAAGAGACAAAACCCACCCAAAAGAAGAGGTCAGATGGACGCAGGTAGCATTCATCTGTGAGGAACAGAACAGGGAGTAGTGCCCCAAATACCCATGAAGAAACAAAGACTCGGAATACGTTGTCTCTATTCAGCCCCCCCCGAAAGTGTTTGCCTTCAAAGCCTGTCTGGAAACTAAACCCAAGGAGGAGTGGTGAAAGTTGCTTTGGTTTTGGGCAGAGAAACAACACTGCTACAGCACAGGGACAGTGTGAATCTGCACCGGTGCAAGACAGGAGAGCTAAAGGCTAAGAAAAACACTCCCTTTATAGCCTGGCTCATCCTGGCAGCCACCCCCTCCCTGCCACACTCCACTGCAGCAGCAAGAGTTTCGCCCTCGTGATGGCTCCGACAGTGGCTTCTTCCCAAGGCGACAGGGAGAGCTCCACTCCCAAACCCAGTCGGGATCCAGCAAGCAGCAGACTTGGAGATTAACCCTGTGGAGACGAGCAAGGCAGGACAGGATGGGCTGGGGACAAGAAGCCTTTGCTCTCACAGCAGCCTCAGGGATCAGAGGCGGTTTAAAGCGAAATTTCCTCTCCTCTGAGCGGAAGGACAAGGAGCTTAAAGGTTTCAGATGTCTGGGCAGGGCGGAGGCAGGCAGATAGGAAATGTGGGACCTACAACCACAGCCTGGTGCCAACATCAGCAGTTGATGCTCCCCCCAAAAGGCACTTCTCTGTTAGACCTCAGTTTTCCCCGGTGTGAGTCTTTGGAGGGCAGGTACGGAGATAACAGCTAATGGGCTCCTGTAAGACCTTCCTGCCTCATGAGTAGGTGGGACAAAGATTAATAGCCTGGATTGGAAACCGAGGGGTGGATTTCGAAAGCAGCACTCAGGTGGGGCAGCAAATCAAGTGTGGGGAACGGACAAATGAGAGCAGAGGGAGAAGGAGGAAGCAAAACAGTGCAGACAGCACAATGCATAAAGCTGGGGGCAGGGAAGAGGCACAGTAAATGAAACAAGGAAGGGACAGACCTAAAAAAGCTTTCCAGGAGGCTCTTGCTTTTATGCTTTAAGAGAGAGTCATTAAGGAAGCGATTGACAGTATGCTCCCAAGCAAGGGCCATCCAGAACCGCTTTACTTTCTGTGTCAGGGCATGACAGCACAGCAGTTTTCCACCCCAGCTAGCCAGAGTGGTCATCAGGCATTAGTCTCTGTCAGGAAACTAGTGGAGACCATATATTATAACTAAATCCTACCATTCAGGAGCAGGTGGAATGAATTGCCAGGCCAAAAATCCTTATCTTTCAGGCAAAGAGACGTGCTTCCACTTGCTTATTAATGGGGAAGATCGGGTTGGTCTCAGTAGTAGGGTTTGGGGTGCAGAGGCTGGTTTTAAGAAGCTGCGAGAGTGGCACGCAATGGGTACAGAGGATCCTGATCCCACTGTAATGGCAGAGGCCATCAAGTATGGTAAAAGTAAAAGGAAACTGCCTCTCAGAAACAGAAAACTGTCTGAAACAGATTTCTAATGAATATGGAAAACAAAGGCAGCAATTGAACCATGCGGAGGAAGAGTGATCTTTGCTGGTTGCAGGATGCCACTGGTTGGGAGAGCCAAGCACTGCTGCATCAATCGATGTGCAGACACCGTGCTTCACACCTTCTTATAAACAAGTAGTAAGAGCTTTTGTTAAGTAACAAATGCCTTTTCTCTCCCACTTGAAGCAGAACCTTCCTTCCTGCTCCCCGCAAGCATTTCCTTTGCAGGCTCCAAGTCATGGCTTGAACCAAAGAAGGCTCCAAGCCCTGTTCTGTTGGCAGCGACTAAAAGCCCTGTAGCTCTTTTCCCCCCCACCTCCAGCCGGGCATTGCCAGAATTCCTCATCATTTCCCCTCTCTCAAAGTGCTTATGCCAAGCCCTGGTCCCCGCTGAGCACAACAAAAGCCCTGGGAGCTGAGCTCACCACTCCTACATTCCTACCTATCTTCCAGCCACAACTGGCACCTTGCTTCCAGGATTCACCAGGCTTTGGCTCCCCATGACCCTTCCTATCAACTCCCGGGCTTTCCCATCACACACACCTTGTATTTGTCCAAGGAAGCAGGATCAGAGAATCAGCACAGAATCATGGAATGGTTTGGGTTGGAAGGGACCTTAAAGCTCCTCCAGCTCCAACCCCTGCCCCAGGCAGGGACACCTTCCACTAGAACAGGTTGCTCCAAGCCCCTGTGTCCAACCTGGCCTTCAACACTGCCAGGGATGGGGCAGTCACAGCTTCTCTGGGCACCCTGTGCCAGCGCCTCAGCACCCTCACAGGGAAGAGCTTCTGCCTCAGAGCTCATCTCAGTCTCCCCTCTGGCAGGTTCAAGCCATTCCCCTTGTCCTGTCCCTACATCCCTTGTCCAAAGCCCCTCTCCAGGTTTCCTGGAGCCCCTTGAGGCACTGGAGCTGCTCTAAGGTCTCCCCTTCAGGAGCCTTCTCTTCTCCAGGCTGAACAAGGATCCACTGGTAGTGCTCCTTCACATGGCTGCTGACCCCTCCACAAGAAGCTCTCACCTTGACTGCCTTGCTTACTGGTTTTTAAGCAGATTCTGACTTTGGCAATCATTTCTGTCAATACTCTAGGGCACTGGGGAGAAAGTGTGGAGCAAGTGGGAAACAAGCATGGAGCCTGTAAAGATACAATGTGCTGCCTTTCCAAATCCAGCACTTGGAGCAAAGCATGAGGTAAACTCAAGCTCTGTCAACTGCAAACAGCAACTCAGAGCAAATACTCCTTAACAAGCAGTTTGGAGCAGAGCAGCAAACAGCACTGCACAGCAAGAGAGGAACCAGCCTTTATTTTGTGTGCAGCTAACACAGTCACCACAGTGGTGCAGAGGAGAAGGCAGGCTGCACTACAAGGTGAGATGTGTGTGTGATGCACACAAAGAGCTGTAAAGAACAGGTGAGTTGGAGGGAGAGACCTGACAAGGTTCTTCTCACTGGTATTTGAGCAGCATAGCATTACTGGGAGTCACCTGGGTAATGCCCCACTCAGT